CCAGTCACCATGAAGCCTCTCTAACAATGACTCTTTCCATATTTGGTCATCTTTGACAATTTGTTAAGTATAAGGTGAAATCCCTGCATTGTTTAAGTTTTAGTTTGCATTTCTCTGATTATTAATGATTTGGAGCAGTCTTTACCCACTGGGGAATGTTATTTTTGGTCCATATGTGATGCAATAATTTTTCTCCAATTATTTACCTTCTAATCCTAGCTTCATTGATTTTGCTTTTTTAAAAACCTGTCAAATATAATGTAATCAAAATTTTACATCTTATTTTTGTGACCCCTTCTCCTTTCCTTTTTTTAGCATCTGCCCCTGCCATAGTTATGCATGAATTGTTAATTACCAGGTAACTGAACAAATTTTTTCTATCAAGGAAAATTCCATATTATTGATTTATCAATGGCAGGCTCCTTACTAAAAGCTGCTTTTTTTTTCTAGTTCCCAAAGTGAGATTTTGTATTCTGTGTACCTGTCAGCCAATTTGAGTATAAAATGTCATTCATTGCAAACTATCATTTTCAAAGCCTTCTCACATTTTTATTTAAGGAACACTTAGGCAATCCCTCAAGATCCTCAAAATTGTGTCCATTACATCTTGGACTTCCTTTGCATATACTTGGTATAGATCCACCTGTTCTTCCTGTCTTTTTTCTTTGGGGTCATTTCTACTTTCTCATGTTATACATTGGGCACAATAATATTATGGTCCAAATGCACTGATTCTACTTTCACTGATGGAAAACATAGATTGTTGTTGAAATCTTTAAAGATTCTTTATAGTTATCATCTTTTTATTTTCCTCCTTCTAGTTCCATTCTTAGATTGAATGATTTGATGTGATTTTTTAAACTAAATTTGATGTAATGTTTTGTAATTTCTCTCACCAAACTTTTGGTAAACTCAATTTATAAAAGAAATCTACAAACAACTCCCCATGTTATATTAATATTCATAGATGGTCTAAAAATTTGGTACTGATTACTTTCTTCTGGCACTTTTTTAACACTTGACTTCTGTCATATCAGAAGCAGAAGGGGGCTGCTCAAGATGGAAAGCTATTCAGAACTGTGTTTTTATGTCATGGATTGCAATTAAAAAATAATAATCTATTGAGTAACCTAGTGGGAATGAGTTTCCCCTCTATAACTAGTTATTCTAGTCCATAGTTTATAACCACCCCGTCCTCTTGAAGCCTTTTCCAAGTATTAGAACCTGTCTGTACTTGTATTTTGCTGACATAATCTGGGCACAAGTGACCACAGACTACTTATGCCACAAGGAAGCATCACAATAGTATTTTATAGAGATAGCATCTAACATACAAGAATAATTAGAAAGAAAAAAATTTACTTTGGAAACCAAATTGTAATATTAAGGGGCAGCTAGGTGGTGTAGTGGATAGAGCACTGGCCCTGAAGTCAGGAAGACCTGAGTTCAAATCCCACCTCAGATCAAACACTTGACACTAGCTGTGTGACCTTGGACAAGTCACTTAACCCTAATTGCCTAAAAAAAGTCAAGTAAAAGTAATATTAAGTAAGATCTCATGTGAAGCACCCATCTCTAAAATGGAGCTGCTGTATTTACTTAGATTATTCCCACTCACCTTTGAATATTTTTCATGTCCCCAACTTCGAGCAGGCAATACAAGCTTTCCCCCCACTCTTCACAATTCCCTGCTTTGGCAAACTTGGTGAGCATTCTCCCTGAACCTATGAAGACTTAGTGAGAGCACTTGATGAGATAGAACTTTGTTTAATTAAAATCAGTTGATCTGAAATTGAAGACTGGTACCACCTCAGAAAAACTCAGTGTTCAGAAGGGCTTTTAAAATCTAGCTTGACCCTTCTGATTCAATCATTAAGAAGAGAGAGGAGAGCAAAGTAGCTTGGCCTGACTCAGGGACCAGGATTCCTACTATTCCAGCTGTAGCTTGGGCAGTGGTATTGTGCCTGATTAAGAATTGTAGGGTCACACTCACTGCTAGCACTTAGTTCTATTTCGGCAAAGGACACCCAGCTCAGCTGGCAAGCATTCAGGGCCAAGAGCACTGTGAAAGAACCTAAGGCGGCTGGCAGAGAGCTGCAGGGAGAACCATATGGGGACAGTTAGAAGGAGCTCTTGGAGCGTGTCGAGCTGAAAGTCCTGGTTGGGGAAAGGTCAGCCTTTGGACAAGCAGAGCTATGCCACATTGTTTGCCAAATATTAAAACCATTCCAAATGGTGGACTCCTTTTGTTTTTAATTATCAGCATGGCTAAGGGGCTTTTGTGTCTTATAAATAAGGATGACAAACAAATTAAGCTCTAGCAGGTGCAAAAAGCTTATTTTGTCCTGAGCTAAATATGTACCAGCTAAGATGTAACTTGTCAAACTGTGTCAGTAGCAAGAAGGGTTGATGTTGTTGATGTTTTTGTTTTTGTTCTTGTTTTCCCCTCTGCTTTTATATTTTTAGATATTGAATCCAAGCTAAGAGGCACAAAAAGAGAGTGGTTACTACTACAAATTAGTTTTATGTCCAAATGATTCTAGTCCTGAAGTTGGATTAGATTCTTATGTTGGTTTTTATGAGAGAAATACACCACCTTGGAGTTTGCTTAATCTCTCCCGTGCTTGAAGTTTCCTCCCAAGGTGCTGTAGTGGCTGGTTTCCATTTTGAAGAGCTCCCTGGGGTACTTAGGTACAGCTGCTTCTCTAAGCAGTATTATACTGCCACTTCTTAGGATAATGAAATTTCAATGTACAGTAACAGGGTCTGCAAATCAAAACTTACACTGGGAGGAACCAGGCCTTCCCTAGGGCAGTGAGAATACAGCATTAATATGCTAATCTGAGGTTGAATTCAGCACAGTTGCTCTTTTGATTGTGTATTAATTCTCTCATTTATGTCCATGTGCCCATCAATCTGAAAGGCCTTGAATAGAATGGACAACCATCTGTCTGAGGTGGGTTAGGGCCAGTCCTTCCTGGAGGCAGAAAGATAGACAAGGCATTCTCTTGAGAATCCTTCTAATCAAGGTATAGAAAGAATGGCTTATCACAGATAACTTGTTACTCTTTCAGGAGCTTTAAAATGGTTGTGTTTTGCTGTTATTATTATGTTTTTGTTTTATCTGAGTCATATTAAAATATCTCATCTAAACAAGTTCTGCGTGGGTGTCTCATTAGTGAAAAATATGCATTAATACCATAAGCAAGTCTAATGAATGGACCAATACTAATGATCTTGCAAAGTGTGCTAGGACATCCAATCCATGCTCTATTTACACGTATGGAAAAGATGTTAGAAATGGAGTTAAAAGACACTAGCTTTGTGCAGTCACTTCATTTCTTAGGGCCTCAGGATACTAATGTTGGAGATTTATCTATTTCAAATGATTGTTTGGAGACACAAATGGAATAATGTACCCATAGAGATCTGTATAACTACATTATTTCCCTCATTCTGTGACATGTTGTTATTTTATTAGAAATTTAGCAAAGTTAGTTTGATCTGATGTCAAAAAGAGTCTTGTGACTATAGAGTCAAAAGGACACCTGGCAGCTGGCAGAGAGCTGCAGGGAGCACCATATGGGGACAGTTAGAGAGGAGCTCTTAGAGCTGACTTGAGCTGAAAGTCCTGATTGGGGAAAGGCCAGCATTTGGACAAGCGTGAGTATGCCAACTTGCTTGCCAAATATTTTGACAATAAAGTCTTTTGGCTTTAGAGCTAAAAGACCTGGGTGTGAGTCATAGCTCTGATACTAGATATGGAAACTGAGCAAATCATTTAAACACTCTGCTTCTTTTTATCTGTAAAATGGGGATAATAAGACTTGTATATCCTACTTTACAAATAGGTAAATTAAGGTTTATAAATCTTAAAATGCTAAAGTATGAGTTATTGGTATTATTAAAAATAAACTAAAGATAAAATAATGAGCAAAGCAAAAGTAGATTTCAATATATTTATATCTCCTTTCTGTCTCTAACTGGTTGTTATGATACTGGTGTGTGTGTGTCTGTGTGTGTGAACATCCAAGTCTGGCTACTTTGACTGTTACATGGAAATACAAGAAAAGCTTTTCTTATCATCTTTCAGAGCTTCACATTCCTTTGCCCGAAATAGTTGGAGGCTTGAAAAAGATGAGGGGTATTCTCTTACCTTGTTGGGCTCTTCTCTACTAATATTGTCTTTATTAGCAACATACTCTCGGTTCTTGGTTAAAGGTGGAAGTGAGAAAAGAAATCTATAAATATCAGAAAAGTACCCAATGCCTAGTATCAACTGAACAGGGATTTCATGATGTTATTAGCGTCATGTGACCTACATATATTTTATTCAACAAGGAAGTAATGAAATTATGCATTTGTTCAGATAGCTTTCTATACTTCTCTGTTTTCTTCTGATTATTTTAAGAAGTGTTATTGGAGTGATTTATTTCTCTCTCCCTCTATCTATCTATCTATCTGTATAGTATGGATATATATATGTATATATATGTATATACATATTTGTGTCTAATGGTAGCCTCCTCTAGGGGAGGAAGGGAGAAAAAAAAGTGCACAGCAGAGAACAAAAGAAAACTTAGAAGGAACACAGAAAAGCAGGGTTGCTTTGAAAATGATGCATAATATTTGTTACATAGTTTAAAAAAAGCAAACAGTGTGAAAAGGAAATTCATGGAATCCTCTTTTTATTATGTTCTGTGTACATGGAAATGTTCTTTTTTTGACTTTATGCATTTGAGTTCAAAATGAATAAAAATTTAAAAAGAAAAAAAGTGTTGCTGCTTTTTTCACATCTTATACCACACATCCACTTATTTCCTAGCCTCTAAGTAGATAGATGTCCTCTCTTGCAACTAGTATAAACCTACAAATGTTGGTGTTTGTTGATGATTATTAAAAATGTAGTTTAAAATTTCTATCTCCCTAAAATCTGTTTTCCATAACCTTATAATGTATTATTTCCCTTTTAATAAAATATATTATTTATTCCTTTACAGTAACTCACAAAGAAAAGCCAGAAAAAGAAAAGCCAGAAAAGAAAGGTAGAGAATTATTATTGTTGTTATATAATTTTATTTTACTTTTTATGTACTTCTTTATTCAAATACTTTCCACTCTCCTTTTTGGAGCAAATGTTTAGGCCATTTGGGTTAAATTTTTATTGATTCATGGTTCAGGAGTCCCAAACTATAGAAGAATCTCACTATAATCTTACTTTCATGGCTTTGGGAGTTGATCTGTGAATTCTTAAAGGCTATTCCAATAGAGGGCAAGTTCTGGGATATCCTAGCATTCTGAAAAGCTTTCAGTCATGGGCCCATAACTGTTAACCACTTAGCACAGTGTCTGGCACTTATTAAGTGCTATATAAATGCTTATTTCTTTCTCTTCCCCCAGCAAAAAAAAAAATGCGCCTGTATTTTCCAAAGAATTTCCAAATTTCCAGCCTGCCTACCCATGGAGAGCACATTATAGTGGAAAGAACACTGATTTATTTAAGAATTAGGGGTCTGGGATTCAAGTCCCATTTCTGATTCTAATCATCTATGTCATCTTAGGCAAGTCACTTAACTTGCCTGAGCTTTCGTTTTTCCATGCCTAAAATTAGTGAATTTGACTAGAGGATCTCTGACAGCCCTTCTAGCTCTAGCATTTTTATTTCTTTCCTTCCTTCTCTCTCTTCATTCCTTTTTTCTCCTTCCTTGGTCTGTCCTTTCCCTCATTGCTTGCTTATTTCCTTACTTCCTTCCTCCCTTCCTTCCTTCTTTCTTTCCTTCTTTCTTTCCACTTTTCTTCTCTCCTTCCTACCTTCTTTCCTTTCTTCTTCCCTCCTTTCTTCCCTCCCTCCTTCCTTTCTTCCTTCCTTCCTTTCTTCCTTCCTTTTCTTGATTGCTTGTTAGCTTACCACAACTCATGGAAGATGTCTATTAAGGTATAGATGTGGTGGAAATCTGTGACAATGTAGAGATAATCCACACTGAATGAAATCCTGTATCATCAAAAAATTAAAGTATTCTTCTAGGGCTGAAAAGTCCTCCGACAGTTAAAGGTTCCTTTGAAGACATTTGAATTTTATTTCCTTTATTCACCTCATATTTGAGCATTTGAATCTGAAATGTTTGCCTTTTATTAATTTTTTTCAAGTGATGATCTAAATAGATTTTATATGTTCATCTTCAAATCTATTGATAAAGGAATGCTTTTCCTTAGTGAACTGTATCCTCCACTGAAGTTTTCCTTTTATGCCTCACTCTGGAGATGACACTGGGTTCTCAAAGGTTATGTCAATGAAATATTATCCCTGGCAGGGCCTGCCAGTTTGGAAAGACTTCAAGTACTAGCTTCAGTGAAAGATAATATTCATGTAATATGAGGAACAGCCTTTACAAACTTAGAAGAGAGAGATAGGTACCAACTTGGAAACAGTGTGATAAATGGTTTTGGTTATAACAGTTCTTAAAGACTATCTATGATTACTGAAGAGTTATAGTCTATTAGTGGATAGACTATCCACCCTTATTAGATCATGGGTTTTTAAAGTATTGAAATGTATTTACAATCTTTGCTTAAATTTCAGGCTATATACATTCAGTTGTAATGACAAAATGAGTTTATAATTGTATTATTTAAGTTGCTGGATTTTTGTAAGATGTTTATAGTAATTTTTTCAAATATAAAGGAAGATTCACTGCTTTTTAAATTGTAAGTTTTTCAGGAAATTCCCCAAATTAAAAAAAAAAGTACTACAGAAATTGGTTAAGGTCATAGACATACAATTCTAGTTACCAGATATCCCATACCAACTATAGTACATATACTTATGGCTTTTAAATATTGTCCATGTTTCTTGCCTAGGGCAAGATAAGCTACTAAGGCATCTGCATCTATTATAATAGTGTATAAATGGAGAGCAATGTTCAATTCAACTTACTTCAGTTCTTTTCAAACCCAGGCCATTCATACCTATGACTTAGTTAGTGGAGAGTCAGGGAGAAGTATTGGAAATGGCTGGTTCTTAGGTTGATGAGGCAGTTGGAAAGGAAATCATGGCTCTGCAGCTAGCTCCATTAATCTCTAAACCCTCAACAAGACTGTGTCTTGAAATCAGTGGGTTTTTGACATCCTTGCACTTGGTATGCTACTTTGGAACATACAAATTTCCATTGAAGACTGAAATTTAATTTAATTTTTTTTCTTAAATACCTGGGGATGTTTTCTTTTTAAATTTTATTAGCAACTATGAAGTTTATTACTATTCCTGTTCTGGAAGAATACAGAATTAGACTCCTATTGCCTCTCCAATAATTTCCTAAATATTAGTAGGCAAAACATTGAATGTAATAATATAGTTGGCCTTCTCTCCCAAACACATTAGTCAATCTCTGTCTGTCTGTCTGTCCATCTGTCTGTCTGTCTGTCTGTCTGTCTGTCTGTCTCTCTCTCTCCCCTTTCTCTTTGTCTCTCTCTCCATTAATTTTCTTGTCTATCTCTTGTATTCATCCCTTTTCTCTTCACCACATATACTACATGGAGTTGGAAGATTAAAAAAAAATATGAAACTTTGAAAATGGGATCCTAAAAGCTGAATTCAGTTTAAAGCCTTTAAACTGCAAACAGAAAGAGTATACTGCATGGTAACTCCCAGCATCACTTTCATTTAGTCACATGGATCCCAAAAGTTGGTAGGATAGCAGTATATAAAAGCAAGCCCTTTTAGATTCCTGCTTCTCAAATTCATCATGTTCTTACTGCTTTTTCAGAGGGAGAAATTTATGAGCTAGTTATTTTGATTAGAATGTTAGCAAGATCTACTGGAAGAAATATTTTATATTTGAAATGGAATAAAAATCACTGGACATCACAATTTATAATACACAACACACAAATTACATTAGCAAGTTGTTTATTTTCCAACCTCTAGAGATTTATTCTGTTTCAGAGAGTTTATATAACAACCTTGGCAAAATATGGCCATCACAGATCATTTATTTGTGATTTTTTCCTAAAGGAACAGACATTTTATTCCAAACATTGAATTTATGCTATATTATTATGCTCCCACCAATTAAACACACTTTTGACAGTAGTGTCATTGATAATAATGGCTAGCACTTTAAGGTCTGCAAAATGCTTTATGTATATTAACTTCTATGACTCTCACAATGACCCTGAGAATTGGGTTTGTATTATTATCTCCATTTTACAGTTGATGAAACTGAGTTAGGGAGAGTTTATGTACTTTTCCGTTCTTGTACAGCTAGCAAGTGTCTAAGTCAGGATTCAAACTCAAGTCTTCCTGGCTCAATCAATTCTACTACCCACAGCCTTACCTATCTACTAAGTAGATTTACCTTACTAATTATTTTTTTCACCTAAACTAAAATCAGCTTATGGTCCTTGGACACACTGCTTGATCACCCCAGTGAGACTTGTGGAGAGAAAGAATGGATTTGACAGAGAGTATATTAATGAACCTAAGGAAATCAATTTATAGTTTTAAAATTACTATAGGTATGTGGAAACTTGACATTTTACTGAATAATCTGGCTTCTACAATTGTAAGAGAACGATCTATTTCACATGTTTGTAAAGATTTTCTCAAAAATAGCAAATAACACTCAATAAATAATCAAGCAATTAAACATTTAAAAGTTCACAAAAAATAATTGATGGGTGGAAGTGCCGTCCTTCAGTAATCATAGTTATAATTGCAATAAGAAAGTCACTTCCTATTGGGTCTAGTAGCTGCTGATTTGAAGTGAATAAATGATTTGAGTATCATCACCCCCTGGCACTCAATAAATACTAAAGATCATGTAGTTTTTTGTTTTGTTTTGTTTTGTTTTTTTCTCCATTGGAAAGGAATCCAACATGAATGTGCTGGAGTCAGATTGTGCTAGCTTGTGAAAGCCGATTATTAAAATTTCAGAGTGAGCTTTTGCACCTCAGAAATCAGGAAATGCTATAATTCAGGGATTTATTTATTTATTTATTCATTCATTCATTTATCTATTTATCTATCTATCTGTCTATCTACCTGTCTATCTATCTATTTATTTATTTATTGGTCAGTGGAGTTATCTAGACTTAAGAAGGTGTGGGAGACAATGTTAATATGCAGATTGAACTTAAAGGTATGGCGTGCATACATTTCCCCCCAAAGAGCCAGTTGTTAAATATTTACCAGTGAATTTCTGGCTCTAGGGAGAATATAGTTGAACCCTTTTCTTAGACAGATAAGAAAAGAAAGGCTCAGATAAGTGAAGTGATGGATTTAACTGTTACTTAATGGAAGAATTAGGATTAGAAAACATGTTTGGATGGTACCATTCTAATGAGTTCCCATACTTTCCAATACACTATGAATGTATATATTCAAATACTATTGTGTAGTGTTTGGTCCCTGATACTCAGAGTTTATACACTAAACCAAATGGCTAGAAGAACCTGTGAGATAATACTGCAGGCTGATGTATGAATGATTAGATACTGGAGGGACTCTACTATATTTTATGTGACTGAAATAAAATTGCACATGAACAAAAATTACTTAAACTATAATCCCCATCAATTAATCTCTCCCACCTAGAACCCTTGTTGCTCAATCCAAGATAACTTATTATCCTTCACCCTTTGCTGCTTAATTTTTTCTATTGTTTTGAATTTGATTCAGTAACTCTAGAAGACCATCAATTAATTTATAGAGGGTATGTACCCATACTGATGGAATTACAGATCCTAAAATTAATATATTAGATTAAAGCTAAGTCATAGTATATCAGGTCACTTAACAACAACTGTGGCATAATGCATACTGTATGTGCAGTCCTCTTCTCTCTCTACTCATCCTCTCTACTCAATTGCTACTGACTTTTCTTTAAGGTGGAATTCACACTGAGAGACTCCACTTGCGTTGGAAAACCATTGTTTTATTCATCTACTATGATCACATCTCCCATGTTATGCATTAATATAGATTAATATACAGAACTTGGGCCAGAAACATTTAAGAGTACCATGCTACGCTCTACTTCTTCTCTTCCTTTATTTGTGGAGAAGAGATTCATGATCACTCTCCTTCACTAAAAATAACAGCTCATGTTTATATAACACATAATGTTTCCAGAGTGATTGTCTTGTTGAGGATCACAGTTACCATTTCAGTTGTTACTGAATTCATGTCCTGTGTTCCATCCACTAAACCATGTTGCTTCTCATTAGGAATAATGTAGTGACTGAGGTTGTCCCATGGGCTACCCTCCTAAAAGTGTTTGAAATGCAAGGAAGATCTACTGACAGGAACTTATGAAGGATATAATGGGAGTATTGGTTGGGGCCAGATGGATTCTAATAGCAGGAGGAATAAACAAAATTTCCCTTTGTACTCCTGGAAGTTGAACCCAAGAATGGCTTTATGGATTAGTTGAGTAGATCACTTCATGACCCATAATATAAATTTTGCCTATTATCATTTATTCTTTTTGAGTTGTTTTTCTCTTTAAGAGTCACCAGTTTTATGATCTATAATATGGCAACAAAAATAGCACCTCATAGGATTTTTGTGGGAGTCAAATGTGATAATATGTGAAAAGTGCTTTGCAAATGAATGATTAGAGACAAACAAATGTTACTTATTATTAATGCGAAAAAAGTAATTTGCTCATGTGACTTGAACTGGTAATTATTAATTTTTAAATTAAAACTCATGATCATTTCTCTTCCTTTCTAGCAAGTCACAAAGATAAACCTGAGAAAAAAGAAAAACCAGAAATGAAAACACTACTCAAAGGTAATTGCTAGTGATTCTTTTATGATTATGTATATTTTAACAAAAAAAGTTGATATGTTTGATAAGTAGATTGAATAATAGTTATATGAATCCATTTATACTTCAGGATAGGTTTTGAAAATTGATACAGATCAATATGCATAATAACAGAATTCTGGACTCTTCCTTAATGCTAGTGCCTTTTCCGTGTTGCTTATCTTCTGTTTATCCTGTACATACCTTGTTTGTACATAATTGTGTGCAGCTGTTCTTCCTTGTTCCCCCATTTTAGACAGGGAAATCCATGAGACCAGGGACTGTGTTTTACCTTTTTTTAAATTCCCTCAGCTTAGCCTAGTGCATGGAACAGAGTAGACAATAAATGCTTTTGAACTGATTTACATATGTCCAAAATAAAGTTTACAGTTTCAAACATTCAGAAAGCATGTATAAGAGCCTCCATATATGCCAGGATAATAACAGATCTGGAAGCTAGAATTATGCTCTTTACTATATTTTGTTAATATAATTCCTACTTTTAATAGATCTATAAGGCTTCATAGACATTATAAAGTCCTTTAATTGGTTGTATATTGGTCATAGATAGCCAAAAATAATTCATGTAATTTAAAATGGTAGACTGAAGAAATTAGGTTTCTTAATCCTCATGATCTTTATGTCTATCTGTCTGTCTGACTGTCTATTTATCTATCTATCTGATGGATAAATCTAGATATAAAGGTAGAGATGAATAGATATCTATCAATAGATCAAGATATAAAGTTAGGGATAAATAGAAAGAAAGGATACATATCAATTGAAGTTATAGGAAGGCTTTTATTGACTATATCTATAGATATGTCTATGGAAATACAATATGTATATTTTTAGATTTAAAAAGAAAGAGAAATTCTGAATTTAACTGAATTATTTGACCATAACTTTATTTAAAGTTGGTACCAATGTGCTATTGAACTAGTTTGGTGTAGAAAATATCAGCCTTAGACATCACAAGATTGAGTCAACATGCAGCTAAACATTTATATGAAATCTCAAAAGGGCTATTGAAAAAAGCAATATGGGAGACACTGTATCAGGGCTTCATACCTTTACTTGTTCTGTGGCACATCTGAAACTTCTACATTGATTGCCCTGTTCTTTCAAACTTGGCTGATGGGATGGGTCATTAAAAAGTAATTACTAAAATCTCTCGATAGAGACAAGGAAATTAAATATGATGTGGCTTGGTGACAGGGAAAGCAGCAGGGTTGGTAGACCTGGATTCTTAATGAAAACTTGGGGTCTCAAGTGGTTAAGAAACTTTGGACTTGATATCCTTAAGGGTCCCTTCTCTCTTCCCAATATTCCCTTACCTCCCCATCCCACACAAACACACCCCAAACTCTTCTCCTTAGGGATCTGTGGTCTAGGATTCTGACCATTCTGTCTTTGATAGAGGAATCAGCACAAAAAAATTTCTCCAGCAACTCTCTCTTTCAACACACATGATTATTAAAACCCTTTCAGGGCATAGTGCAGGCAGCCTTATGTCTACACAGACAAGATTAAAGTACCTTTATTTTGATCTAATTCTCTGAGTCAAGGTTTTACCAAACAGACCAATAGGTCCTTTGATAACATTTCCAAGTTGCTGACCTCTGTTTCCTTTTTTTTTGTAATGGAAGTGACTGAGTAGGGATGCAACACCAATGATTTTCTGTTTCTACAAAATGTTTTAAATAGTCTTTGTTATATTCTTGGAAACTTACATTGCTACCTGTGTACCTGAGTCTTAAAAACAAAGTACTGGCACAATTTTAGCATCACATTTATTTGTTAGCTCTACTAAAAATACCCTTTTTTTTGGACCAGACCTATGATTCCATTTATATAAAGAGCTTTCAATGAAGAAATTCCCTCTAACAACAGTGATCTGTACTTATTCTACAACTTGTAATCTTAGAAAATTAGCTGCATGAGACACTGAGAGGTCATAGGACTTTCCTAGGGTCATATAACTAGCATTTATGAGAGGTAAGACTTGAACTCAAGTCTTTCTCACTTTAAGTATTGCTTTTTTATGGAGAGGAGGCAATCAGAGTTAAGTGACTTTTCCAGGGTTATATAGGTAGTAAGTATCTGAGGCTGGATTTGAACTCAGGTTCTCCTGACTCCAGGACCTGTGCTCTATCCGCTATGCAACCTAGCTGCCACTAAGGCTTACTTTCAATCCACTATGCCATACTGAGTCTCAATAGTCTGCTATGTTTGTTCATATATAGGCCACCCTCCCTATCACCATCTGGATTGTATACAACTTGAATGATATCTATAATCAGTGTTATTTTTCAGTGTATATTTATATTTTCTTTCCATAAAGTTATATGTGGCTCAATCCAAATTCAAATCAAAATAATAATATTTTGCCTATGTATTATGTTTCTTTTGAACATCTCAGAGTATACATCTCTTTTGCATACATTATCATAAGCATCATCTCAACACTCTTATAAAAAGGAATAGTTTTACCATGATCTCCCAGATGTTAAGGGGCACAAAAGGAAACATAAGATACATCTTTTGACTCTGAATTTTATGTTTTATTTATTGGATTCTGCTACCTCCACACACTACATGGTTTTAGTAACATACTGCATTGTTCTGACATACTCCGTAGTGAATAATCCCTATATCAGGATTAGAATTATATAATACTTCCTATGTTTTTACATTATAAATTTATTTTTTTCTTGGAATAACTAAAATCTAAAATGTATTTATAGGATTGTCTATAGAAAAAGTTTTAATGTTATATTGGTTAATTCTTTAAATGTTGAGTTATTTTTGCACAAAACTACCTAACCACCTAAGTTTAGTACATAGCATTACCTTTCCAGTAGAAAGTACAGTAGTTGTGTGATCTAGCTCCCTTTTCAACTTCTTTAAAGCCAAATTGTTAAAATTTAGATATGCCTTATGATAGATAATACTTTTTAATTTGCCTTGTTCATTTAAAATACTAGTGATGTCCCATTTGCCTCATTGAAAATATTTTTGAAGCATTTTGAAGGATATTTGTGGAATAGCCCTTAGTACATGAATGCTAAACCTATTTGAATATATTTAGGCCACTTTTTGAATATGGATATGCTTGTAATCTTTGCATGTATATACACACACTAATATTACATTAAAAAACTATTGATTGGTTTGTTAGTATTACTGATTATTCAGAAATAATTCAGTATTTTACAAATCAGTTGACAAAAAGAGTAAAGTCTTAAAGTCCTCAACAAAGAATAGAGAAATTGAAGTCTTACTCTGGAGTTCTTTTTTTAGTATACTGATTTTTGGAATATTAATTGTGTCAAACCTGAGTGGTTTATAATCAGTTATTTTTCACTGTATATCTGTATATTATTTCCCTAAAAATAGGGGTGAAAATTATATATAGACCAATATAATAATCATTTATCTTTATTTTATCTTTTTTTACATTTATTTTAATTTAATTTTTTCTCAATGACATGTAAAGAAAAGATTTTAGCTCATTTTTTAAATTTTGGGTTCCATATTCTTGCTCTTTCCCCTGCCCCTTCCCCCTTCTTGAGAAGGAAAGCAATTTGATATAGATTATACATGTGCAGCCATTCAAAACATTTCCACATTAGCCAGGTTGCAAAAGAAAATGCAGACCAAGAAACAAAACAAACAAAATCCACCAAGAATAATTAATTTAAATAATAAAAAGTGTGCTTCATTCTGCATTCAGATTCCATCAGTTCTTTCTTTGTAGATGGATAGCATTTTTCATTTTAAGTCCTTCAGAATTGTCTTGGATTATGTATTGATGAAAATCGCTGTCATTGCACCGTATTGCTATTACTGTGTTTGATGATCTCCTGCTTCTGCTCATTTCACTATTTATCACTTCATGTAAGTTTTCCTGGGTTTTTTGGAAAATATCCTGTTCAAAGTATTCCATTGCAATGATATACCACAACTTGTTCAGTCATTTCCCAGTTGATGGGAATTCCCCCAGTTTCCAATTCTTTGCCACAAATATTGCACAAATATTGGTCTTTTTCCTTTTTCTTTGATCTCTTTGGAGTATAGACCTAGAAGGGGTGTATATCTTTATTTTCTAAAGGGCTCAGAATTCTTGTGCATGCTTTATTATAATGATCTTTTAAACACATTTGTAAGGAGAAGTATGTTTTTTGAGTCTTTCTTTTTGTTTTACCTCATTTTGTTGTTCCAAAGAGAAAGAGGATATGCTGTTTGGTGGGGAGAGTTGTTTAAACAACCATTTCTGCTATTTGTAGATGAGAAGAAGAGTAAAAGCTCAAAAGCTGAAGAAAAGAGTAAGAAGGAAGTGAAAAGTGGAAAACCAGAGAAGGTGAAGCAAGCTGATGCTAAAGCAAAAAAGGTGGAGAAAACACCAGCTAAACCCAAAGGCAAAGAAGAAAAAGGAACTGCAGCTGTTTCAAAAAAAGAACAGAAAGGTAAACATTTCAAGGAGGAAGCATCTGAAGATTCTAAGAGAGTAGTGGGAAAGAAACAGAGACGATGATAATTAAAGCTAAGAAAGACTTAGAATCAAACTTCATGCAAGAAAAATAAAGACAATAAAAGTAAACCCCTATGGGTTCCAATATCACTAACTGGAAACAAAATACCTAAGGATTGAAATTTTAGTTACAGCAAGATGAAAAATGTTTTTGCAACTAGCGATTAATTTTTGATATGTTTCCTTCAGCATAATTGAGCTGAAAGGTGTAGTTATTGGTTTTATAAAAGCAAATCTTGAGCTTTGGTAATTATTATTAGAAGGGTGCTCACAAATGGTTGACTTCTTTTTAACCTATTCGTTCATGAGGTCTATTCATTTGGATCAGGTTTCAAAGAGGCCAAAAAAAAAAAAAAAACCACAACCAACACAACAACAAAGACACCCCTGTAAAATGTGCTTCCCAGAATGACTTATTAACCAAAATTTGAAAAATACAATATACCAGGTCATGGTTACAGTGTATTCTGCTATCTCAAGGATTATATGTGTAAGTTGAGTTTAATGAAAAAAATGTAGCACTGTACACATATTTTAGTTGTCTCAATTATGCAACTTCTTTCAGTGGTACCATTTGGGAAAAGTATAACCTTATGGAAATGATATCATCTTAATAGGCAGCAAGAAATAATAGATGGAAACTTGAACTTTGGATCCAGATTCCAGAGACTCATGTGAAGACCTTAGACTCCAGAGCTGCCTCAGTATCCTCACTTGTAAAAATCAGAATAATGATATGTGGGTGGCAGCATAGTAAAAGGTATAGAGAGTGGTCCTCAAAGTCAGAATATTTCCTGCCTCTGACACAACCTAGCCTATGACCCTGGAAAGGTCACTTAATCTCTCAGTTTTCCAGGCAATTGTCTAATATTAAATTGCAGAGCAGGTGCTGGATTACATTAGCAGAGAGAGTTTGATCACTGGGAATTCCATATACCAATGGAATGACTGATTTGGTCCCAAAATAAAGAAAACATTTACCAATATCAAAGAGCTATTAAAGTTAAATATTGTTTTAATGCTTGTAGATGTAAATAACACTTATATATTTATATGTAATATGTGAAATATAATTCATATAAAGCCTTGAGCTTCTTTGTAGAATGGTGCTAGCTAAATGCAAAGGAGCAGTGTTTCTAGGGGATCTGTAAAAGCAAAGTAGCAGTATTCTTCTGGTCCCAACTGATTTTGTCCTCATTCCAGCTTTGACTTCAATTCTTTCCCTATTTACTTGTCACATAAATTCTCCACTTCCCACACAAACAACAATTTTTTTTTTGCTTCTAAAGAAGGGGTTCCTAAGCTGTAGTTCTTAATTCATGAACTAGAGTTTTTCAAATATTGTGATAACTATTTCAATAGAATTAGTTTCCTTTGAAATCTTATGTGTTTTGTTTTATGCATTTGAAAACATTCTTTGAAGGGGTTCATAGGCTTCACCAGACTGCCAAAGGGTTCCAAGATACAAATAAAGGGTAATAACCTTTTATATAGAATCTTCTATGCTTTCATAAGCAACTTTCTTGTGATTTATTTTAAGGCATTTCAATAAAGAATTCTAGGGGCATAGGTCAAAGAAAATGATCACCTTTTTACTTGTTTTGATTGCTTGATGAGTTTTATTTGAGGGCCAATTTTCCCCTCAGTTTTAGTTTGAATAAAACAATAAAACATAAAATTTAGAGTTAAATGCAGTTGAAGTAACAATGATAATAACTAATACAATTTGGAGAGTGAAATTCTGGAAATTAATGACGTTCCCCCTCCCTTTTAGGGAGGTGCAGCCTATGAAAATGGCAGTGCAATACAGAGTGGGATGGTGGTAAGATGTCCAAAACTCTTGTCTTTTATTTTAAAAATAAAACATTTTTTTCTGAATCCACAAATAATGATTTTAAAATTTGAAATGGTAGTATAAAAGCACAAGAACAAAAGCAGCATACCCATTTTTCTATCAGTACTCTGTAAACTTTAGGGTACTTGATTTTTTTATAAGCCCCTTTTCTCATCATTGAACTGCAGACTGTGAGCAGGGAGAAATCAGTTGCGTGTCTCTGTCTTTGGGACTCCTAGAAGATTTTTTTTTCAATTTTTAAACTAATTTAAACTGAAAAAGAATTAGAAATAACACTTGTTCTTTCCATCATTACTATTTGGGTCCTGAAATGTTCATGGATCCATTTATAGGGCACATAGAAAGTAGATTCTGAATGACTATTGATTAGTACCAGTTGTACTACAATGGAAAACAGCCAGGTGCCCTTGAAGCTATCTCCTACTTAGTTGATATTTTCATAGACCAGCAATTCATTTGTCAATTTTCTAAAAGTCTTTGTGTTTGGGATAGCCTTTCAAAATGAAAAATAATAGGAAAAGAGTGAAAAAATATTAGAGAAAATGGGAACTTTTATCCATGCAAAATGTTATTTAGGTAATTTTTTTTCTTGGACTACGAATATAGTAAGTGAAATACGTATTCCAGAATGCATGACAAGTCGCTCCAACTCTGTCAAAAAATATTTTTGTAATATGGATGGATCTTTTAAATTTAATAAAAAATATTTGCGGTCCCCATATTTGGACAACTTCAATCTAAACAAAGTATTAGATATCTGTAACTCTTGAAAAATTTACTTTATATTCATGTGTGTCTTCGATATGAGGACAGAGTGGTAAAATAGGGAGGGCCAATGATACTCCACTAGGGGGTATTATCTCAACTGAAACTGACTTTTCTGCCTGCTGACTTATCTCACCTAGAATGACCTTTTCTTAGCTGCCATAAGCCTGGACATGCAGCCAAGGCAGCAGCTGAGTGCTCTCTATCACTATTCCCTGAGAACCTAAAAGAGAGAAATGGTAAACAAAAGGTTTTACTTTTCCTTTTCTAGGACAGAATTCATTTAGGTGGGGAAAAAAAGGAAATCCAAAAAATGGTGAATGAATAAAAATTATGTACGTATGTATAGGTGTATGTATACACCCATATAAACATACACATGCACATATTTATGTATGTACATATACAGATACATGTATACACATTTATACACATGTATACACATATCACATATATATAAATGGTGACTGGATACAAAATTATAGCTATTTCTATGTAACATATATAAGCAGATATGATACTATATAGGAATATATTTATATGTGAAGTTGTAGTATATCTTCAAGAAACTGACCCATAAATCCAATCAAGTCATCCCTTGGGAGGAAAAAGTTTCCTGATTATAATTCTTTTCACAAGATCTGAATTTTATTTGTTTCCCTTTACCTTCAATATCATCACTTCTTCTTTAGCCTGGAATCCTTCTATCCAGCTCACAGATTCTCCTCTACTCTCTCTGAGCTAAGGGTAGAGCTCCATGCCCCAGCCCCTCTGTAGATGAGTTACTGATTTACTTCTGTCCATGGAGGGAGTGGCCTTCACAAAATAAAATCCTGGCTCAGGACTAAAACAAATAAACCAACAACTTGAGGGACACATACTGGAACCCAAATAAAGAGTATAAAGCTATCAAGTGAAAATAAGCCTTATGAATGTGTGAGAGTAGATAGCCCAGTTTTGAAACTGAAAATGTAAATAGTCTTGTTCACATTGAGATGCCTCATTATTATTATCATTATACTTAAAATTCTTTTATGCATGAGTCAGGCTGACAAACATTAGTAGCCTTTTTTCATTCTCAGAATTCTACTCATCATATTTGTTTCTCCCTTTGGAGGGGAAAATTCTGCCATAAACTTTCAAAAAAAAAAAACCCACACCAAAAGAAAACAAAACCTAAGGTAGAACCATGGAGACCAGGAGCTCTTCTAATGTTCAGTTCATACAAATGACTCATGGAAGATCTTTTGTTTTACAAACACAAATCTGGACTACTGGCAACAATATCAGCACCTGCCCTGCTTCATATTTGAAAATTATCTCTTCACAGACAATTTTGATTTTTTTTTGTAAAATTGAGAAATTACATATCTCCTGTACAAAATACACTGTCCAACACAACCATTGCTCAACAGTTTCATTCCTAGGCATCTGTAGGATCCTGGAACTAATCAGAATTGGAAAGGGACCTTTATCTTATCCAACCTCTTAACTTTATAAGTAAAGGCTCTGAGGCCAAAAGGTGTCATGAACTTTGTACAAAGTTATAGAGTTGGTTATTCAAAGACCTGATATTTAAATCAGATTACTTTCTTCCCAATAGCTAGTTGGGGATTCAGCAATGAGGAAATGAGTGTTTTGATATGAGGAATGATTTCTTAGGGCAGATAAATAATCTTGGAACTTTGGGGTTAGCTAGTACTGGCATTGGACATTTTGAGGGCACTATACACCTAAAGGCCTGAGGGGATGAGCAACATCAGATGGAATAAGGGCTCTGAAAGGGAGGTAGAAGACAAAATAGAAGCAGGTAGGTGGTAGAGTGAATAGACTGCCAGGCTTAGCATCAGGAAGACCTGAGTTCAAATCTGGCCTCAGATACTTACTAGCTGTGTGACCCTGGATAAGTCACTTAACCTATTTTCCTTAGTTCCACATCTGTAAAATAGGGACACATTGGATAAGGAAATAGCAAAGCACTCCAGTATCTTTTCCAAGAAAACTCCATACAAAGTCCATGGGATCATGTAGAGTTGGACAAGACTGAATAACTCAACAACAACAACAAATGAGACTGGACGATCTACTCCACCTTGGGCAGCTAGACTTACCCATAATCCAATGCGTCATTACTTTGACATAGGCCAAACCTATAATGAGTATAGCAATGGAAGCTATTTCACAAGAATTAAATAGTCAAGCATGCGGGCCTGGTTATCATCATTTCTATATGATTTGAGTTTAAAAACAAGTGAATCAACAATAAACTCTTGGAACATCCAATCTTTAGCTGTATTTAAATAAACAGTAATTGTTAAAAGGATTTGCTTTTAAAGAACCAATTGAACTACTTTAACAATGGAAATATGTATATACATATTAATGTGCATGTAAAAATCTTGTTTTTGTCTGAAGAGACTCAAAATGAAATGGAATGACTAAAAGTTTTCTTATATTTCAAATATTATTACCCTAATTTGGTAATATAATATTCTCTGAATTTGTATTCACGTAACTTCTGATTTAATGTATCACAATGTGATTTATAAGATAATTTGTTTTATACATAATTAATAGTTCTAGTCATAAATCAGTTTTTTAATTTGGGGTCAGTTAAATTCCTGCTTTACAAATATTAGATTGTAAACCATTTTAAAAGATATCCATAAAAATTAATATGAAATAATTAATTCCCCAAAGTTTTGTTAATTGAGATTTAGACTGCATCTACCAGAGGGAAAACAAATGTTTTGTTGTTAAACAAACCGGCCAATGTCAACCCGGAAGAGAATATAGCGATTATTGATTTGTCAGCACCTTGGGCTGTGACATACAAATCATATATGTACATATACATACAGCTCTGTGTGTGATCACACACACATACATATACATTCATATATAGAGCTAAATCACTATATATTGCTAAACTAATATTGATATACCTATTTCTATATATATATTCTTCACTGGCAATAAACTAGATAGATCATAAGATGATTAAATTTACTTTTGATAATGGCTTAACTCATCCAACCACTCTATAGCTTGGTTCTGTAAGAATGAAGAATACAATTCTCATCCATACTGCAGAGAATTTTCCACACAAAGGATTGTTGGTAGGTTGTCAGTGGGTTGTCTTTCTCTGATTGCTCTCTAGATGCATTTCGGGAAAGAAGACTTGAGGCCAAACAGTAAGGTTTAGAAATACTTGCCTCAGGCAGATTCTGTGATTGGTTATCTCTAGTCTACAAAAGGACACTGCAGATTTTTGCAGGAACATAATGACTTTCCCATCAGTGCTGCTAAGTAATGGGTGAATCTCAATATAAAATTACAGTATATAATGAGTTTATCCAGCTCTCAAGTCTATTACCCTTAATGGAACATTATGTTAACATATATTTTCCTGTATGTGGTATGTATGTGTAAGTGCAAATTATTTCCTGAAAAAGGAAGTTGAATGACTCAAAATCATGGTTGTTGGTTTTCATTGTTAGACTGCTTCTTCCCTGAAGAGCAAAAACAAGGTTGTTAAACTTTCTTCATTGCTCTTTTTTCTTTCCACTCTGTTAGATCAGTTTGCATTCTGTCGCTATATGATTGACATGTTTGCCCAAGGGGATTTAAAACCAGGTACTCCAAATCAATTTTTGCACTTTTCTGTTTTAATAATCTTTATTTCTGAGGTTTTCTGCTGCTCTGTGGACTAATATGTTTCTCTTTGTGGAGGTTGTTTTTGTTGTTGTGGAAAATGAAACAAATGAAACAAAAATAGTCATTATTGCATGGGTTATTGCAAGCTGAAGCAACTGAAAGCTACAAGTGCTAATATCTCTACTAATCTCTCAAAGTGAAGCAAAGAATCATCTTAACATGTCAGGAGAAGCAAGCAAGAAAAAAAGTCTTGAGGCAAGTCACCTTATTTTTAATACCAAAGAAAAGTTATATTTTAGATCTCACTAGATGATGGACCCCTTTCCTTTTATTCTGCCATATGTGCCTGATAGAAGAATTCTGATGACTACTCTTGACAATCTATATGTGATCTCACAGGTAATGATGAAGTGAATAGTGACAGTTCTTTTCAAGTTAATTTAACTCACATATACTGGGCTTATTACTTAGGTGCACCATTAGAGTGTTATTTTGTTAATGTCTATTAAAATGATTAATATACTACATATATTTTAGAACTGTGTCTTTTAGTAATAAATTATCAATACTGACATTTATTGAATATTGCCTTATTACTGAATTGATAATTTTAATGCCTGAATTTGGTAATACATTTTCAAATACAGCAAAACTTCTCTTACCCTTTTCAGTATCTCATGTTTAAAAATATAAATAAATGAATCTTTTGATAGTTTTCAAAAGATATTAATTTGATTAATGATCCTTGTGATTTTTTTAAAATCTAAGCTAGAAAGCATTAGGTTTTCCTTACCTAGACTTTAAGGAGAACTATCTTAAATTCTGAAGTATCAGCTATCTCGAAGAAGTCTATTAGAATGACTCATTTTCCAATCTTCTGAATAACCAAGGCTATATCACACTAAAACATTATTTTAAATATTATAAACACAGAAATGTCAATGCTCTGAAAAAATTTCTGGTGAAGCAACTAGATGATGCAATAAGTAAGAGACTTGGAGTCAACAAGGCGTAAGTTCAAATCCAGCATCAGACACTTACTACCTCTGCCACCTAGCTGCCCCTATACACATAAATATATCAGTATAATTGGTTTCCTTCTTGGTCCTATATATTTTATTTTATGCATTTAAAGATATTATTCTGAGAAAAACAGTTCTAGGCTTCATCAGGCTAAGAAAGGGGTCCATGGCACTAGTTGGGTGACCCTGAGCAAGTCACTTAATTCTGTTTGCCTCAGTTTCCTCATCTGCAAAATGAGCTGGAGAAAGAAATGGTAAACCAAGCCAGTATCTTTGCCAAGAAAACCCCAAATAGAGTTATAAAGAGTTAGACATGACTTAAAAACAACTGAACAACAAAATTTATGTATATATGTATTATATATGTATAAATTATCATACATAGGTATATTTGAAATCCATGGAACCCATATTTTAAGGTACAGCCATAATTTACAGATGGTGACAATATTATTTTTTTTACTTCATATGAACAGCTATTTGTTTGCAACTACTGTGTGAATAGCACATATTGTGCTGGCAAAGAGAAATGACGATTAGCATGAATTAACAAATGACTAATGTGTATTATTAATTTTGTTATCCATGTATTTCACTAAATCTTTTCTGCATCATCTTGTAAGACATGATAATCATATGTTATTTGCCAAATTAATACTAGTAGTTAGGGAATTTGTCATAAAATTATGAATTGTCAAATTAAATGTGAGCCATCAGGACTCACTTGCTCCTGATTAAAAACCAGTTAGGGATAGTTAGAGTTTAATATTCATATGACTCACCTTTTATTTCTGGCAATATTATAATAGATAAAGATCTCCTAAACAAGATGCAACCATCAGTGTAAATTTATAGGTGGCTATTGTCAATGTATATGCATATAATACTTTTATCCCAGCAAAATGATGACTATTCCTTTGAATATAGTGATGACATAATAGTGATAACATTTTCTTGAATATGCCTTGCTGAGTAGGACCATATACTGGCTTGAGATTTGAAAAGGCGACACTCTACCAACTAACACAATGAAAGGTTCCGCCTTGGGCCTATGTTTTCCATGTACATGGCACACTCATATCATTAACCATTTGACCTTCACCTTAATTTTCTGTTTTCCTTCCTTTTCCTATTCTGTATTAGTTGAGGAGTTAGCAATTTTTCCTCTATACTTCCCCAGTGACAGAACTTCTTGAGTTAATCAGGTAACAAACAGAGTATCACTGGGGCTCCCCACTCTCTATGTGCATGTGATAAGTTACCGTGATAGTGTATATAAGTGGCAACAAGACAGATCTGGTTAAGAGAAGTCAGAATCAGGAATTGGTTGAGACAGGAAGTATCTGGTAGATTTAGAACAATAATAGAATTAGAATTAGAAGGAACCTAAGAAGTCATCTAATATAAGCTCCTCATTTTGCAGATGAGACAACAGCAGCCTTGAAAAGTTATCGTTCATGCCATAGGTTTAGTAGGCAAGAAATTATGTGGCAGAGGTGCAGGGCCTACTAGCATGGACTAAAGATGAAGCTCAGAGAAATGAAATTAAGCAAGAAGTGACCTGCAGGTTGAGAAATTAAATATTTAATGTATAGGATGTCAGAAAATAAGATTAGTACCTGCGAGCAAAATGCACTTAAAAAAGAACACTTGCACCCTTAAATAAAATTTCAGTTTGATATTAGCACAAATTTTGATCCAATTAGAGTGGTCCAAAAATGGAATGGATGGCTTTTAGAGGCAATGAATTCCCAGTCACTGAGGAGTTTTAAGTGGCAGGTAAATGATTATTTGTCAATATAAACAACTAGGCGGCACAATGAGTAGAATGCTGGATTTGAAGTCAGGAAACCCTGATTTCAAATTCTACCTAAGATCCTATTCCTAACTGAATTACTTAGGACAAGTTACTTCATGTGTAAAATGAGGATATCAAAAACACCAACTTAAAGGATTTTTTAAATGAAATAATATAACAGATAAAACACTTTGCAAACTTTGAAGTACTGTTTAAATGGCAGTTACCATCATCATCATCATCATCATCATCTTCATCATTGGAGAGGTTCCCATTCATATGTGTTGGATTAGATAACCACCAAGAATTCTTGCAACTTTGTAGTTCTGTGATTGTCTTCAAATACCTGAAGGGCTATAATAGGGAAGAAATAATAGACCTATTTTTGTTGTCCATAGAGGACTGAACTAAGAACAATGAATGAAAGATAAAATGAAGTAGATTTCAGTTTGATGTAAGGAAAAGTTTCCTGCCAAAGACAACTGTCCCCAAATGGAATCATCTGCCTTTGGAGTAAGTTCTCCCACACTGGGGGTCTTCAAGCAAAGGCTGGATAAACCACTTGAAAGAGGTGTTGTATAGAGTTCATCCTTCCAATGGTGATTGGACTAAATGACTCATAAGATTTTCTTCAGTTCTTAGCATCTATATTTATTTATGTCTATATTTTTATGTTATGTCTGTGAATAGTTTATTTATATGATTTCTAGATGATTTTTATTTTTTCCAGTTTGTTTTGTCCCCAATTCTCTATTTGCTCTCTTATTTTTTTCCTTCATGATTTTGAATGGTTTGAATGCTTATGATTCAGACTCACTTATAAGTTGGTAAATATATAGGCTGTCCCCAAAGTCCTGGTGCAATTTTAAATTTTATGACCTAAGAGCTGAAAACTGCACTAAGACTTTGGGGAAACTTTATATTTAGGCTAAGGATATCCCTTTTAACTTTACCTTGGATAAGATTCTGTTTCTGATTGACAATTAGATAAAGGAAAAGGGTAGGGAGAAAAGACTTTCACCAAAGTTTATTGCTCTGCTTGTAGTTCAGTGTTTATCCAACATTTGTGTTTCCATCTGTTTCTGTTTGGGATTAGTTGAGCACCTGTTGTTGTTTAGCAAGAACTCATTATTAATTATTTATAATAGTTCTTTTTTTTTACCTAAAATTGAGACTTTATCTCTGGAGTGCAGTATTTACTTTGGAAGATATCGTCACATCAGCAGCAGTAACCCAAATCATTATTTAAATTGTGAATACATCATTAGTGAAATGTGCCAAATGTCAGGATCTGATATGGTCTTGAAGTAGCATATATCTATTTATTATACTTCTTTGAGATTTGACAGAATTAGGAATGCATAGAATATTTCATGGTTGGAGAGTTTAGATATTGAGGTAAGTCTCCAAAATTTAGCCTCCAGGCATTCTGGAATAATCAAGCAAACAAAAATAATTAAGCGCCTACTCTGTGTGAGACATTGTGATAAATATTTGAGGTATAAAGAAAATAAAATGAAATATTCTTTGCCTTCAGGAAGTTCATACTCTATCAAAATGAAATCAGAGGACTTGAGTTCAAATCTCACCTCTGATACTTGCCACCTATATGAATTTAGGTGAATTTTTAACCTCCTAGGCCTCAGTTTCCTGATCTAAAAAATAAGAGGATTGGACTGATGAATATGTCATCACTTCTAGCCCTAGTTCTATGATGGAGCATAATGGATGTTCAGGGAGAACTAGCACCTCTAGTGTGAGGGCTTGTCTACTCCTTTTAGGGCTGCTCATCCGCCTTTGCTGTCCACCTGTCACCCAACTCTCACCTGTGGATCCAAGAAGCTGTAGCATTCACAGTGGTCACACCCCAATAAAACTGTCTCAGTAGATGGGCTAAACCAAGTTGAGGATAACCAACAAGGCTCAAACTCCTCAGTGGATTAGAGGGATGTTTACCCCAAACATGTAAAGACTTCCCCCAGCAGAATAAGTGGATGAATACAATTTGTTCCAATGGCCACAAAAGTGACTGGAGCAGGCACTGTGGAGTGCTTAGAGCTTGGTCAAACATAGAAAATGTCAAGGTCATCTATTGAGTCCCAGACCATCACCAATCATCCTGATTTTTCCTGTCACTGGACTTTGATGACTCAGAAAGA